TGCGTAAACAGACCCACCTGAAGTACAAGATGTCGGCCCACTGCCTCCGCTAGTCTGACCCATGTCGAAGAGAGCCTACGGCTGACAACTCTCTATTCTGTTTAAAATCAGATTTCCAAGTCTCTTGAATTTCCCTCATTTATAGTCTTAATTCGCTGATTCAGCGTGGACGGCAAGGGGGTAGATAGCTCCTCCCTTGTGTTCTAATTTCCTAAAGTTAGGCTTTCATTGGGTATTCTATGTGGCTGGGGGTGGACCTCTTGCGTCTTATCGCTGTGTATTTACTCATATGACCATCTCCAGTGGCCTAGTTAGCGGAGCGTCTTGCATACGGTATTATGCATGAATGCTGATTATCGCATTCTTAACCTCATTGCGTGTCCATGTGTTGTCATCTTTGCTCTTTCACTGCAAAACACTTTTCGCAAGTCTCCAGGCACCTAGGTAATGACTTAAATTTTCAATCCCAAATTTGATCCTCAACAATTAGTTTCAAGCGTATCCAGAAAAAACATAATGTGACCGTTTATGATATGTACGTATGCCTGATGCCATTAGCCACCTCGATAATAGACCCAATCAGGAAATGAACGAGAATGTCTAAAGATGTTTTGGAACTTCACTGAGAAGCTTATCGTCACAGAAGGCCCACGGGGAATGAAGTTTACATCTATTTTAATTTGTCCATCTGTTTCGATATCATACATTGCTGCATCAATGCTATGTAGGATCAATTACAGCTGTATTGTTTCCTGACGTATCCATACTTAGTGGTACAATGACCATATTATTATTATTATTATTATTGGAGGGGGTGGGTTTCCCCATGCACCGCGACCAGTGGTCTATTGTACGTCCCACTGTGATATTCTACCAGTCTCTATACCCTACCGATACTGGTGCGTGCCATCAGTCCCGACTCAGCCAGCGAGTTCGGCCTCTACTGGCTCAGCGGTATCTAGATGCTTTCCCCATCTACCAGAGGCGTTAGAGACTATTGTTGGGCGGGAAATGTCCTTATAATTTAGCTCAGAGACCTCCTTGAGGCATGAGGTTCTTTTACGTGCCGTAAAGCTACGACACGGGACCCACGGCTTAAAGTCCCTCCCGGAGGACTTGTTCCCTGAATTTTTCCGCCCTTAAAAATTCCACGACCTCCGCCGTGTTTGAATCCGCGTACCTTGAGTCATGAGGTGGGAACGTTACCCCTAGACTACGGAGGCAATGACCATAAGTTTTTCAATAATAATGATATTACAGCCTAAATGTTCGTTAATCCCGTCGCCCTTTATTATAATAAATCTCCAAATTTTACTGTTGCTCATAAATAATTCCATTCTAAGTTGTATTTATATTTCATCTAATAATAAAAATTTTTCTCTGATATCAGCCTATAATAAATTGGATTGCTCTATTATTGTTTTGAGTGTGCCGCTTATTTCAACGGGCTGTTCTCTAATACTCGTATATATCTTCATTTCATTATATTCATGCATTTGAAATCGTAGCTATATTCTGTAACAGTTCTGCTTTACTTGCCTGTACTTCCAAGTTCTTGCATTTATGTAATCCATACACATGTATCGCGCTTGATTGATGAACAGGCCGGATACACTGAAGTCTACCTCTCGGTTCTTCATCATCAGTGACAAACCTTCAAGTTTTCCATTCTCAACGACATACCCATATAACGAAGTGGGCTTAATGATTACCCTAAGAAGAATTCACAAACTCAGTTTTTGTACAGTATGCTTAATAAGAAACCTATTTATTTATTGCACTGCAAAACACAGTGTGCCTTGCTATATTCTCCTGAGGTGAGACTAAAAGGTCTAAGATACAAAAATTACAGTATCATTATATGCATAGTGGGAGTATGTAACTTACGAAAAGTTATAGGACAGCTCGAGCATTTGGAACAGTCTGTAATGATATGTCGCCATAGCGTCCTTCATCCTGTTCTCTGGTTTAACCAGTTCTTCTTGAAGGTTCCTCAATGGCATGTTGTTTACCTGATAAGGACAAGTGACATGTGTGCATCTAGTGTTTCGCTTAATGGGGGATGGAGTCCAGCTGGGTCCACTCGGCACGGCGGCCACTGATTGGCCTATTGTAGCTGCCCCGGATGATTATGATGATGGAGAATTTGGTGGAATGAAGATTGGCAGGGGAATCCGAAGTGCTCGGAGAAAACCCGCCCCAGCGCCACTTTGTCCACCACAAAACCCACTTGACTAGATTTCGTTTTTAATACGTTTATAATTCATTGCATTTTTATACCTTGTATTTTATAATGTAACAGTTATCAAGTGTCCAGCTTTACTATCACAGCAGTTCAATAGTGTGTGAATATAGTAATCTTTTGCCTGATGATGGCTTCAAAAGCCGAAACATGTAGCTAAGGTAATATTAACCTTGACCGTTATGTTGTTGTGTTACGACAGACTCCAGTAAACAATTGAATCTGGTATATTTATTTATCGTCGTGGCGCATCGTGATAAGTCTGGAAAGTACAAAGTGGACTCCTCTGTGCATTAAAGAGTGTATGGTTGCCTAACAACGAAAGAGCGATGGACAAATCATTTAATGCATTAAACCTTTTATAGTTTCATAACAGCAGGCAGAGCGAAAAGAAAAGGAAAGACAGAAGGATTATATAGGCGTAATAGTCTGTAGATTTGCAGTGACAACTTACCAATAAAGCAGCTGTGAACACAATGCCTTTCATATCATTTCGTCGTGTGTACTTATATTGAGTTAAAGTGATATGAAGACCCCTCCTGGGGCTCCAGTAGCCCGCCTTGGTGCCATATATGGGCCAGCTGTAGTTGATTTTATAGAGGTCGTACAAGGTAAACCGATCGAGGTCAGTTTCAGGATACACCCACGTCATCTCAGTGTCGAAGTTGAGGTTAAGAGTTTCTATGTCGGATGTGTACTTCTGTTTGCTCCAAATTAGCCAGATGAAACTAGCGTTTAAGGAACGGCGTGCAGAATTCTGGAAAGAACATTTTAAATAATAACTAAGATATATCCACAATTAATTTTAAAGAGGATATGATTATAAATTTGTATGAAACTTGGTCTCTTACTCTGGTGGAGGAACTTAGATCAAGTGTTTGAGAATAGTGCAACGGAGAAGTGGAGAAAATTACATAATAGACGCTTCAGAATCATTAGCAAGATGGGAGGGATTCGATAGGCAGGCTATGCAGCTGGCCTGAAGTAAGCAAGAAAGGTACACAACATTTTGGTTCGAGATCTTGGCAGAGATGTAGGGATAATATTGAATTAAATCTTAAAGAAATAGGTTAAAAATGTAAGAATGGGGCTGAACTAGCAGAAGACTATGCAATGGTGGGAGTCTGTGAACTTAGTGTTACGCTGTCGGTTTATGTAAAAGGAATTAATTTCTTTACCAGCTGAGTAATTCTCAACTTCTCGATAAGACTGTATGCAGTAGAGTTATAGAGTAGTACTTAAGAATGCTCACCACTATTTTATAAAGAAGGGTAATCGTACGCATAGTGTATAATCATAATAGGGAATTTCTGTATAAAAATACCTGTGTGTCATTTTATAGAATGCAATAAAAGAGAATAATACATTTTTATATGCAAATAACAATCCATCTATTTCGCCTACCTTACTTCCTTAAAAACACACAAAAAAAACAGACCTATAACATCACTGTGCTGCCAGTATGTTCCCCCATTTCAGCGGTTGAATCATTTAACCGATTTTTACTGAACTTGGTATGAATGTCATGCCATTGGAGGCCACTTGAACGCCGCACTTTTTAATTTCCTACAATCAGTAGTAACATGTCGGATGCGCGAACTTTCAAGGCAGGAACGGAAGCAGCCCTACTTTCTTTATGATCCTGAACTTCCGTATGGTAACAACTTGGCAAAATATGCCGCGTTTCTTAAGGTAATATTCCTGAAAAGTATAAAGTAACAGCATGGCCTTGCGAAATCTTTCTTTAGCTTTCGGTTTGATGGCGATAGCGGACAAATCGTTGGAGTTATGTGAAATTTGGTATAGAAGTTGATAGTAAGTCTATGTGTTGTGCGTGAAATATTGATCGTAATTCAACAGTCACAAACATGGCGACGGTTCGAAGTCTTAAGGTTATATTCTGCAAATTTAATATAAACAGTTTAAGAATTTAAGTAAATGTTCATCATCATCATCATTAGTAATCTGTCAGACGACAGGTCCACAGTCTCTTCCAAAACAGTTCCTTCACTTAATGCGCTCTAGAGCTTTCTCCTTCAAATGACAGTATCCTCTTCTGTCCCCAAGGGGACGCTGCTTCCGGCATCAGTTTTTGGTGTCTCTCTTCGTCTGATACCTACCCTTTGACCTGTCCAGCAAGGTGAGGCCCTGCCAGTAGCTACGCTACCGCTGGTATAGCTCTCAGGGTCCTTGGCATACTCAAACCCCCTCACCACGATAAGGTGTTGACACCAACGAAAATGTTCTTCACAGAATTAAAATAACAATAATAACAACATAAGTCTGTGTAACAGGAAATTAGTTTATTATTTTGGTGTGAGCTCCGTTTATAGATCTGCATGTATGCAACTTATTTCGTTTTAATTGGTTTAGCTGTGCCACTTTAGGGAATACAGCTTCTCCTTTATTATAACTCCCTCCCCCCCCAAAATCTAATGGCACGAGAAGGGCGGAACGGGGAGGCCAAGAACATGACCTTAATCTATCTGCTTACTAGCAAATTGTGTTCAGTGATTGCCGCAAAGTTACCGATTTTGGGGGGTGTGTCAACTTGCTGGAAGATTGTGGGGACGTCCTTCAAACAACCAAAAGGCCTTACATTCTAGCACGTCCACATAAACGGTTTATTTCCATTGTCTGCGATTGTGAGCAAACACAGATTCGTCTAGGAATATCTCTTACATACTGTAGTTGTTCGTGAGGTGGCTGAGAACCACAAACTATACAGTTATGCTCCTTTGTAACTTGTGTCATATGCGGTGTTTCTTAACCAGAAGAATGTGGAAGGTACGTTAAGGCTCACATGCCATTCCAGCTGCAGAAGTATATAGGGTGGATGTACGCCGAACTACAAATGCAGCTCATATCGAAATGATGCACCAAAAATAAAAAGAAGATACATTGTTATTTATAAGTCAATTTATTTTAGTGTTCTGTTTTATTGTATTCAGTACATACTCACGTTAGAAATACCAACATTCTTTTGTGGAAACTGCATACACCAAGCGTTGCAGTTCATTAACGTATTTGCCGGCAACTCGGGCTCTATAATGTCGAATGCTTAGGATTGAGATTAATGAATCATTAAGGACGCGGAAGGAAACGACCGTGGCCTAATCTAAGAAACTGTCCCAGCAGTTGCCTGGGGACTGAAGAATACCACGAAAATCTCAGAATATTCGGTATGCTAGTCGAGGTATGAACAGGGCACTTCCCGAATGCAAGTCAGGAATATTACAGCTTGAACTAAGTTTCCCCAATATCAAGACTTTCAGTGTGCCACAGAGTAAGATCACATTCAGTTGAGATGTCAGGATAGGAAACCTGGATGTCTTTTCTTTGGTGGATGTGTCTTTAAGACTTACCTGCAGGAGATATTCCTTGCCTTCTGGACAGTCATAGTCCATGAAGATTCCAAACCTGTTGTATGATCGCTTAATGACAGGGTCGATAGCGTTAGAAGGAGATTTCTCCGGATCTGGGAGGATCATCCAGAACTTACCTGCCAACATCAGAGATTTCGACAGAAGAAAAGTGTCTGTTGAAAAGTACAAAAAAAAATATACTTTAAAACCGAGAGAATATTCATATTATTCATGATCACGCGGTCAAAGACCGCTCGAAACAAAGGGTTTGGGTCTAATGCTGCTTGAAGCATGGATGCATGTCCGCGTTCATGGGTATTTTGTGTTCTCTGTAGGCAGATGTCTGACGATGGACTGATCCCCGTCCAGTGAGCCAAACCAATAAGATTTCGTACTTTCAGAATTATTACTAAATCGGAATAGGTCCTAATCTGCGAGCTGAAGAAAAATAAGACTGGCCTCATTCCTTTAACCATAAGCCCATTAATGTTATCCTACTGAAATATTTTGATTGTCCTGTATTTTATACGTTTGTTTGAACAAGGCTGTCCTTCCAGAATTGCCATTATTGGCGGAGACTGTGACTTTATACATATATGGCTCTAAAAGTATGTTAAAGTAGGAGAGGAATTTTCTTTTGGATGACAAATGAAGCGTATTATTAATACGCGATAGCGTAGTTGGTTGAGGCATTATGCTACAAGCCGGAAGGTCGCGGGTTCAAGTCCCGATGAGGTCGTTGGATTTTTTCAAATGACCTAATCCTTCTGGCCGCACTATGACCCTGGGGTTGACTCAGCCTCTTAACAGAAATGAGTACCAGGAATTAATTAAATAATTTTCCTCGGGAGTAAAGCGCAGCCGGCACGTAAGGCTGACAACCTTACCCCCGTTTGTGAGCCGATTGTCTAGATAATGTGGGACCCTCAACGTCTCACAACTCTATGGGCCTTCACGGCCTGTTACAGGGATAGTTTTACTTACTTTTTACTAATTTTTATTATTGGCCCTTGTTCTGCTGAGTTGGCACGCAAATAAATAAGAATTGACCTACTATAAATATATAAAAGAATTATTTACTTAACTAATTTTTTGCCCACGATAATATCTGGATAACTGTTTTGTCGTAAGAGTAATCCAGTTGTTGTAGGCATATACGTGTATCTTTGTTTCTAAACCGGTTGTCCCCGGAAGCAAACATAACTGGTTAGAAAATTATGGTCAGTGTTGTAGCTCTTGTTATGCATCTAAAATACTGTTTTGCAACTTGTGTTTTTTTTCCTTTTCAGCCACTAAATAATATACTCGTAGTCGCTGGATCGAATCCCGATGAGGTCATTGGATTGTTTTTCAATTTACCTTCTCTTAATCCATCCATCCGCACTGTGGCCCTGGGGTCGACTCAGCCTCTAACAGAACTGAGTACCAGGAATACTCTTGGAATGTTCTTGGGGGTAAAGGGCGGCCGGCGCGTAAGACTGACAACGTTTCCGCCATCTGTGAGCCGATTGTCTAGAAAATGTGGGCACCTCAGCATCTCAACTCTATGTGCCTCAACGGCCTGTTACAGGGATACCTTTACTTTAACTTATACTTACTTTACTAAATATGGCCTGTGTTGAACCGGAAAAGGGGCATACCTTTCCCAGATGGATTAACTCGAACATTGGGCCGCTCCATAGCTCAAGCGGTTAGTCGCTGGCTTCCCACCGCGGCGGTCCGGGTTCGATCCCAGGTCTGGTCAAGTGGGATTTGTGGTGAACGAAGTGCCGCTGGGGCAGGTTTTCTCCGAGTACTTCGGTTTCCCCTGCCAATCTTCATTTCACCAATTGCTCCACAATCACCCTCGCATATCATGTGGGGCTGGTACAATAGGCCAGAAGTGGCCGCAGTACAAGGGACTTAGTCCCACCCCACGAGCATTAAAAGAAAAACAAACAAAAAAAATTCGAACATTTCGTAATTTTGAAGATCCATAGAACGAAAGTTGGTAGGACTGTTGGGCTCGTTTCTAATAATGCGAGCGCTTCTATTCGCCTCATTTTCCCTATTCATGTGTTCGTGTATTCACATGTACAATATTAGGCAATGTATTCAGACGAAACTTGATGTTTATAAAATTTAAAATTTGTTATTAGAATTTGGTCCAAATTGAACAACGAAGTTTGCCACTTTGCAAGAACCTCAACATCTTACATGTAAGGTAAAGGTAAAGTTGTCCCTGTGCTTAACTAATCAAGCACTACGCCATGAAGGCGTATGGGGGAGTGGATGTATAGATCCATATTTTCTTGACGTCGGCAATAACTGGAGGTGAATGGTCAGCTTCACGCCCCGGCCGCTTTACCACCGGCGAAAGAGCCCCCCGGTACCCATTGTATAGGAGGTTTGGTGGACCCCAGAGCCGGTCTCGGCGACGTGGAGAAGAGAAAATACTTGATCCTACCGGAACTCGAACTCCTACCCCTCAGTCGTTCAGCCCGTAGCCAGTCGCTATACCGACTAGGTTATCCCGGCACAGTTACATCGTACATGTACGATTTCGTATTTCAATAAATATTCAAGTGATTCGGGCAACATTTATAACGACTCCATCACGTGATGTTACGAACAGCTTGCGATATAATGACCATGAAATAAGGGTATTTAAGTGAAGTCATGAATAAGCGTATAGCAAACGCGCATGTTCAGGAAATTTTATGTTCTCTGCCAAGAGGTTTTCTATTCTGTACATTCTTTACCTGTATTGTATACTGTCTCCGGTACACCTTTTTAAAATCGACTGCAATTGACTGTCGAGGAAGCGCTTATCTTATCCGGTTTAATTAATGTTGCAGACCATTTATGTTCGAGTTCATTGTTACAGAAGGAAGTGTCTTGTGAGGGTCTAATTGTATTCGCAACCTGTTTGTTAATATGAGTTCCGAACATAACGTCAGAGTATTGTTGCTGGTAATATGAATACCAGTTTCTCATTTAATTTCGTGTTACAAGAATCGAATTCTTCTTTAAAGATGGTCATAACTCAAACGGCCGCAATGTAAATCCACACCGTCGTGAAGACATCACGTCTTAAGGCCTACATAAAAAATATTTATTCTGAGGAGTGTATGGTCTTCATACAAGTTACGTAAAATTTGCACAATTCAAAATTATTACATTGCAAGCATATTTTATTTTCTTTATAAAGTGAATTGAATTAATATGTGTAGGGGTTCTGAAATGTAACGATAACTTCGAAATAATGAGCACAACACCGTGTTTTAGCATAACATGGAAAATGGTATATCTGAGTTGTCATAGCTTGAATCTTTTAGTCCTATTATCAGAAGGATGTGATGATGCTGCATAATGACGGATAGTGTCAAGATATTCCTAAGTAGAAATTATGAAGGACTCTAAAGATGAAACAGTTTCGTCTTATTATCACAGATGGCCGCACCATAGCTCAAGCGGTTAGTCGCTGGCTTCCCACCGCGGCGGCCCGCGTTCCATCCCGGGTCTGGTCAAGTTGGATTTTTGGTGGACAAAGTGGCGCTGGGGCAGGTTTTCTCCGAATACTTCGGTTTCCCCTGCCAATCTCCATTCCACCAATTGCTCCACAATCACCCTCACCTATCATCTAGGGCTGGTACAATAGGCCAGAAGTTGCCGCAGTACAAGGGACTTAGTCCCACCCCACTAGCAATAAAAAAATATAGTATCACAGGTGACTTGCTTTGAGTATCCGTACCGTGCTTGGAGCATGTAAAACTAGTGATGATACGAACAGAGTTGTGCCTGAAGTGGTCTTCAACAAATCGTATCGTTTCTTCTGACAGCCGACCAGCGGCCGAACAAAACAGAAGCAGCAGAAGATAAGTTCTCAATTTCTGCATCTCAGTCTTCTACACTTAACTTTGTTGACGTACTTTCTTTCCGGGATTTTATATAATTCCGCATTTCTTAGAAGAAGCACAAGAGAGTGACACTCGGAATTATAAATGTGTTTAACGGAAAATTCACTGAAGAATTTCTTTAATAGATGGAAGGATTGCATTTGTTAGTCACTAAGACTGCTGTTCGTGGCAATAATATAGCAGTTGTAAATTAATAATCAGTCTTATCATTCCGATTGTTTCTTAGGGGAAGAGAAGGCAAGGTTTAAAAATAAAATGAAACCTATAAGACATTCTTTTGAACACAGGTAACTTGTTTCGTGCGACAGTGATAACCCTGAAAAGCCTTCTGAATATTATCAGAAAAGCGATTACGTGTGCTGTGACGTTAAAAACGAAATATGCTAGAAAGGTACAGTTACAGTGAAACATCACTAATTCGGACAACGGTTTTTTTTTTTTTTGCGCGCTCGTTATGACCTTGATCACATTATAGCAATCAGCAAATTGTAGTAAAAGAACAGTACAAAAGAGGCACACAAACCAAAATAAGTTCATTTTTTAAACATGGTCTCAATAATACTAAGTATGTATGCTACCTAAACTGGTTTTAAGGCTGATGTCATAACTTACATTTTTACATTTTATGACAAGTAAGTTGATTTTGTGTTACCGTATTTACGCATGTATAGGCCGCAGCACAATTTTCAGACAGAAATTATAGAAAAAATAATTTTCTTGGAATATTATTTCAGGAGTAGAACACCCTGTATTACTAATTATGAATATAATTTTTTTTAAATGAAGTGTGATTTCGAATATAAGCCGCACCCCAGTTTTCCTCTTGAATTTTTGGCAAAAAATGTGCGGCCTATACATGCGTAAATACGGTATATAGCCCAAGTTTCAAAATAAATTCGTATTTCCTAAGAAGACACGTGTAATTCATTTTATAACTTCCCTGAACATATTTTCAGTAGCACTTCTATAATTCGGACTTTGCTCATTTTGACAAGGGTTGTCCCCCAATTAATATAAATTAGTTAGGTCTTATCTGCAAGTTTTCTGCATTTCGTTATTTTCTCACCGTTCGCAAACGTTGGGTTATTTAAACTATACAGATATGTATTATTAACATTCTTTAGACTGCTTCTGTGGTCTAGT